ACTAAATGGTCCAGTTATAGATTTTCAGGCAAAGCTTGATCCAGCAGCAAAATGATGGCATCTAGGGCCTGATTTGTTCCAGTTGTTTCTCTATTCTGTCCTCCATAGTATTTGCTTTATTTTAAAGCTGCTCATCATGATCCTAAGATAAGTGCCAACTAATTCACTGATCTTGTTTATCAGGAAAGAAAGCATAACTTCTTCCAAGCAAAAACCTCTAGATGTACTTTGATTGGATTACCTTAGGTGACACACTCCCTTTGAACAAATCTCTAGCTTGAGGAGATAATATATTGAATAGTTTAACCTAAGGTAAATTATCCATTCTGGGGCTAGAGGTGGATTCAGTTGTTTTAAAACCCCATGGATCCCAAAACAGTTTCTGGGCTAATAAGAAAGTGAATGGGGAGAAATGGATACTGAGGAAGTGCCACTAACAAAGACCACTATTATAGGTTAGAAAATGATGCCATCCTTATATGAAAAGCTGCAGTGTCCAAATGCATAGAGATTCTGTCATTTGAAAACTAGAGCACATGCTGTTTAAACCAAATTTGATATATCTACTATAACGGAAATTGACTTTCATCAAAAGGCATGATGAGCAATCATTAACCTTTGGATTTTGTGATTTTATAAAGCATTGAATTCTATACTTCTGTGCTCTCAGAAGGGAAGCTTTTTTTGTTTATACGTTTTGGTAATTTTTAACATGCTGTGAATTAAAATAGAGAATGTACTTTTTTTTTCCTTCTAGTATAAAATCGAATAAGCAACAGCACAATGCAGGAAGTCAGTCTAGCCACAGCAAATCTGTACTTGTTTTTGTGATAGCATGGGAAGAATGAATATTTGCCCTGTGGCATCAATTTCCTGTTTAATGTTCTCCAAGAGGCATTTGGAAAATGCCCAGCAACACAGATGTACGTAAATGCCACACATAACTTCTTTTCGTGAGTGGAAAGAGGAGTCTATAAAATTATGACAAGGCTGGTTTACCCTCACCTCCTGATAGTTGGTGAATCACTCTACTTTTAACTTAATGATTTGGAGGATGGATTATTCCAGAGTTTGGCATTGGAAGAACAAGCAATATAGGAATAGCATGGCTTTTGGTTTCTTATCCCAAGTTCTTATTCATTTAAGGCTATTTTTATCCCAAAGTTTGCCATATTTCTGCTGGAAATTGCCTATAAGAAATGTATACATATCAGGACAGGCTTTATAAAGCAAGCAAAAAAAAAAAAAAAAAAAAAAAAAAAAAAAAAAAAAAAAGGCCCTCCAAAACCAGAAACCTATCTTTAAGATTTGCAGACACAAATTTGTTTTCAAACCACAGAAAAACATATGTGCACACCACATAATCTCTTATGGTGTGGGCAGATATGTTCTTACACCAGACCACTCACACACCATTTTTGGACATCTTATTTAAAAGGTTGAAGAATCAAAACCTATTTTTGTTCAACAACTAATCTCTAGGGTTACTATAGAATTTAAAACCTTGACACACAAAAGAAAATTCAGATATAAAGAATCTGTCCTCTAACATATTCTTTTTAGCTACCTCCTGACATAAAGCAATATGAGAAGTAATCTATTAAGTACCAAGTCTGAACAAGCAACATCTTTCTATATGTTAATGCTAATCCTTACAATACCTCCATGTTCCATATCCCTCATCTTATCGATGTGGAAATTAGGACCTTAAGAATATAAATAACAGTCTAAGGTCACTCTGGTAGCTGGTAGGGCCACATTCAAACCTAGATCCATCTGCCCATAAAGCCAAAGCTCTTTTCTCAAATACAGAAATTGTCAATCTAGAATTCCTAAATGGGCCTCAGAAGATTCTCAAGAGCCTAAAATTAAGCGCAAATCTGTAAGTATGTCTGTACATGTATTTTTCTGGGGAGAGGAACTAAAACTTGTTTTAGATTTATTCAGCTGTAATTTACAGAGCCTATCACAGTCTTGAAGACAGTAGGTACATAATAAATATTTGTTCAAAAATAATATCGGTCTGTGACACTAAAAAGGTTAAGAACCATTGCTTTTATTATGTGTCCCAGTATTGCTATAGCTTATCCCATTATCTATGCTATGGTTTAACAGATATGAATTTCCAGTACTACTGGCTTTGTTTTGGACACATATATTCATTCTTTTTTTAAAAAAGAAGGTTTAAAATTCAGAATCTAGTTGATATGCCATTTAAAACTATTTGATGTCTATATTAAAAGATTTAAAACTTTTAGACACTATTGTCCAAGGATGATTTTTCTTAAACAGATCACAACAGTGCAAAGGACTGCAAACTATTTAGACTAGCAGTACAGAACAGAAATATAATGTGAGCTCCAAACACAAATGACATTTGCAATTTTAAACTTTCTAGTAGCCATAGCCACACTTTAAAAAGTAAAAAGAAACAGGTAAAACTAAATTCAACAATATAGTTTATTTAAATCACTATATCCAAAATATTACCATTTCAACCTGCAAACAATATCAAAGATTACTGAGTTATTTTACATTCTTCTTCTCATGCTAAGTCTTGGAAATATAGTGCGCATTTTACAATCAATTCAGAAGGCTCCCTTCTTCATACTTGGTGGCCACATTGGCTCATAGCTGCCATATTGAACAGTGCATGTAGAGACTCAGGTGACTGAAAGAGGTGGACAAGGTTGATGGAGGCCACAACAAAGTAGGAAGAAAGTGCAGCAGGTTTTGTCATGTGAGGAGGCACTTCAGTGACCCAAGGTACAATGACGTTAGGTCAGGCTGCCAGCTCATATTGCCAAAATTGCAGCTTTGTAGATGATTATTAAGATGGCCCAAGAAAACAGTGTAACGTTCAGCATTTCAGCAAAAGTCTTTTCTTATTCCTATAGTCACCTTTTCTTGGAAACAGACATGCACATGAGTGCACGTGTAGGGGAAGATGTGATGCAGTGACTAAAGTTATGCCTAGCAATTATAATAATTTTGTTCTTTTAACCACACCTAGAGCAAAGGATCTAAGGGTTTTTTTTGTTTGTTTGTTTTGTTTTGTTTTTTAATACAGTCTTCTTCTGCCGCCCAGGCTGGAGTGTAGTGGTGCCATCTCAACTCGCTACAACTTCCACCTCCCTGGTTCAAATGATTTTCCTGCCTCAGCCTCCCAAGTAGCTGAGATTATAGGTGCCCACCACCATTCCTGGCTCTAATTTTTATATTTTTTTAGTAGAGACGGGGTTTTCACCATGTTGGTCAGGCTGGTCTCAAACTCCTCCTCAGGTGATCCACTCGCCTTGGCCTCCCAAAAGGATCTGTGAGTTTTATTGTGTGAAGTTAAGGCAGTCTCTGGCTCCTTAGGAAAGAAAAGAGGAGTTGAGATCCAGAGTTGCATTCTTCCATTCTACTGATAAAGGAAGGAGGCAACAGAGAGCCTGAGAGTATAGACTGCAAGACCAGACCATACCTTAAAAAAGCCCAGGAAATTCTGTTCTGCACCCTGACCAAGTTTAACTCACAGATCGTGCAAGTGCTTTCTGAGACCCTACAAAGGCTTATCTTACTCTGTGCTATGGTTTGCCTCTTCTAAGGCTGGACATACTGCACACTTAAAATACCTTCCGCTACTAGGCAGGGCAGTTGTGTTATCTTGAAACTCACAGATGTAAAGTAACTTTTGAAACTATATTTCTCCTTCTAAATTTTTCAGTTACTTAACATGACAAGCATAATATTGTCTTCCTCCATAACATACTTATAGTCTATTTGGGAATTTATACTTGGGTAAGCAGGGGTACCATACCTGGAATTTCCCCAAATTGAGAAATTATCTGAATCCATTTGACATGGTTCCATTTTATCCCTGGCCTTTATTTTAGATCGAATGGTAGATGTTTTAAACTTTAAAAGAAAAAATATATGAAGACCTATATACAACTTGAGGAAAACAGAGATACTGTTTACTTGGGAATCCTCAATTTTAACAACCTCATAGCACCCTAATAAATTATGAAGCATTTATAAGATAAATCCAAATTGTCAGAGACTAGAATGAAATCATACTCTAGACTTGTGAGGTTCCACATGACTGGAAAAAATTTCTTTAACACCACTGCTACTCACCACTACTGTTACCAATACCATCACCAGCATTACTACTACCATAATTGTAACTATTATAGTCAGTCTGCCATATCCACAAGTGCCATATAGATAGTTTCAACCAACGACTGATGGAAAATATTTGAAAAATAAAAATAACAATGCAACAATACAAGTAAAAAAACACAGTGTAACAGCTATTTACATAATATTTACATTGTATTAGGTATTATAAATAAACTAGACATGATTTCAAGTATATGGAGTATGTGGGTAGATTATATGTAAACACTATATTATTTTATATAAGGGACTTGAGCATCGCAGATTTTGGTATTGGGGAGGTGGTTCCTAGAAACAGTTCCCTGTGGATACTGAGGGAAAATTGTACTACCATCATCACCACCACCACCAACATGCCTCTCTTTCCATTTATCTGCTCCAGGTGGTTGGGAAAGGAACCTAGGAAAATAACATTTTATGGGAAGTTTCTTTTGCACTTAGGGCTACATCTTCCCAGCAGGTTAGAGAGTCATGAAGTGATAGGAATTGCAAAGTGCAACATCTGCAAAGCAATCCACAACCCCAAAACAATTTTTTCCTCTTCTATAATGATGCAAAGTTACTTGCTGAGCTACCATTGAATAGTAGAATAGAAAAGTTGAAGAAAGCAATTAACTAGCAGGGTGAAAATAAAAGTCAGAGATGACTGCTGCTGAAATCCCATGGGGAGTAATGAGATAAGAATTCTTAGGACTTAATTCATAACGAAGACAGTCAGAATGTGGAGGAGTGGATGGGTAGGCAATGACTCATGTTCCCTGCCCAGGGCACAACCTCAAAATAGTGAGGCTGATCCAACAGGCACAGATAAAAACCAGTCGCAGAATTGTACTCACTAGTCATGGATGATCTTTGTGCTGGTTAATTTCTAAGATTGCTTTTGTAGCAGAGTGGTGCCCTTCTCACAGCTAGTTTACAATCAGAAGCAACCGAGGAGGCTGGTTCCTCAACATTCTGATCTTGAGCAAGCTTCCTAATTCTCCAAACATTTGTCTTCATCTGCAAATGAAAATAATGCAGTATAAATTAGAAAATGTATGCTTCATTACATAGAATCTTCAAAACATATTGGGAATGATGGTGATAATGTGGACCTTGTTTACTGGCAGAATGCTTGCCTTATCTCTATTTATCCCCTCTACATTCCTAGGAAATAGGTATTATTATCATCTCCATTTTATAAATGAGCAAGGTTACTAAAGCTCAGCAAAGTTAAGGTCACATAGCTTGCAGAAAGATTTCTTCTTCTATATAACTTGATCTCTTTAACATGTAAACTGTGTAATTTGCAATAGTTCGAAAATCAATGGAAGATGAAAATGATTCAAACTCCCAAAATAAATACATACAGAAAAAGTCACTGATCTGAACCAACTGCATCAAAGAAAATGTAGTTTTACTTAGAATTGACTTGGCTATGTGGGCTGTCTTTTGGTTCCATATGAAGTTTAAGGTGTTTTTTTTTCCAGTTCTGTGAAGAAGGTCATTGGTAGCTTGATGGAGATAGCACTGAATCTGTAAATTACTTTGGGCAGTATGGTCATTTTCATGATATTGATTCTTCCTAACCATGAACATGGAATGTTTCTCCATCTGTTTGTGTCCTCTCTTATTTCGTTGCGCAGTGGTTTGTAGTTCTCCTTGAAGAGGTCCTTTAAGTTCTTTGTTAGTCGTATTCCTAGGTATTTTATTCTCTTTGTAGCAATTGTGAATGGCAGTTCATTCTTGATTTGGCTCTCTTTCGGTCTGTTATTGGTGTATAGGAATGCTTGTGATTTCTGCATATTGATTTTGTATCCTGAGACTTTGCTGAAGTTGCTTATCAGTTTCAGGAGATTTTGGGCTGAGATGATGGGGTCTTCTAGATATACAATCATGTCATCTGCAAATAGAGACAATTTGACTTCCTCCTTTCCTATTTGAATTAAAAACAAGCAATGGGGAAAGGATTCCCTGTTTAATAAATGGTGTTGGGAAAACTGGCTAGCCATATGCAGAAAACAGAAACTGAACCCCTTCCTGACACTTACACTAAAATTAACTCCAGATGGATTAAAGACTTAGATATATCTAAGACCTAACACCATAAAAACCCTAGAAGAAAATCTAGGCAAAACCATTCAGGACATAGGCGTAGGCAAGGACTTCATGACCAAAATACCAAAAGCATTGGCAACAAAAGCCAAAATAGACAAATGGAACCTAATCAAACTCCACAGCGTCTGTACAGCAAAAGAAACAGTCATTAGAGTGAACCAGTAACCAACAGAATGGGAAAAAATGTTTGCAGTCTACTCATCTAACAAAGGGCTGATATCCAGAATCTACAAAGAACTAAAACAGATTTACAAAAAAAAAAACCAAACAAACCCATTCAAAAGTGGGCAAAGGATATGAACAGACACATTACAAAAGAAGACATACATGAGGCCAACAAACATATAAAAAAACGCTCATCATCACTGGTCATTAGAGAAATGCAAATCAAAACTACATTGAGATACCACCTCAAGCCAGTTAGAATGGCGATCATTAAAAAGTCTGGAGACAACAGATGCTGGAGAGGATGTGGAGAAACAGGAACACTTTTACACTGTTGGTGGGAGTGTAAACTAGTTCAACCTTTGTGGAAGACAGTATGGCGATTCCTCAAGGACCTAGAAACAGAAATCCCATTTGACCCAGCAATCCCATTACTGGGTATATATCCAAAGGATTATAAATCGTTCTACCATAAGGACACATGCACACGAATATTCATTGCAGCACAGTTTACAATAGCAAAGACCTGCAACCAACCCAAATGCCCATTGATGATAGACTGGACAGAGAAAATGTGGCACATATACACCATGGAATATTATGCAGCCATCAAAAATGATGCAATCGTGTCCTTTGCAGGGACATGGATGAACCTGGAAACCACCATTCTCAGCAAACTGAAACAAGAATAGAATGGCGATCATTAAAAAATCGGGAAACAACAGATGCTGGAGAGGATGTGGAGAAATAGGAACACTTCTACACTGTTGGTGGGAATGTAAATTAATTCAACCATTGTGGAAGACAGTGTGGCGATTCCTCAAGGACCTAAAAATAGAAATCCCATTTGACCCAGCAATCCCATTACTGGGTATATATCCAAAGGATTATAAATCATTCTACTACAAGGACACGTGCACACGAATGTTCATTGCAGCACTGTTTACAATAGCAAAGACCTGGAACCAACCCAAATGCCCAATGATGATAGACTGGATAGGGAAAATGTGGCACATATACACCATGGAATATTACGCAGCCATCAAAAACGATGAGTTCACGTCCTTTGTAGGGACATGGATGAACCTGGAAACCATCATTCTCAGCAAACTGACACAAGAGCAGAAAATCAAACACCGTATATTCTCACTCATAGGCGGGTGTTGAACAATGAGAATACATGGACACAGGGAGGGGAGCACTGCACACTGGGGTCCGTTGGGGGGAAATGGGGGAGGGGCGGGGGGTGGGGAGGTGGGAGGAGATAGCATGGGGAGAGGTGACAGATACGGGTGAGGGGACGGAGGACAGCAAACCACACTGCCATGTGTGTACCTATGCAACAATCTTGCATGTTCATCACATGTGCCCCAAAACCTAAAATGCAATAAAAAAATAAAAAATAAAAAAATAAATAAATAAATAAATAAAAAAAGAAAATCAAACACTGCATGTTCTCACTCATAGGCTGGTGTTGAACAAAGAGAACACATGGACACAGGGAGGGAAGCATCACACACTGGGGTCTGTTGGGGGCAAATAGGGGAGGGACAGTGGGGGGTGGAGAGTTGGGGAGAGATAGCATGGGGAGAAATGCCAGATATAGGTAATAGGGAGGAAGGCAGTAACAACTCACACTGCCATGTGTGTACCTATGCAACAACCTTGCATGTTCTTCACATGTACCCCAAAATCCAAAATGCAATAAAAAAAAAGAAAGAAAGAAAGAAAGAAAATGCAGTTTTATTAGTTTCAAGGACATACAGTACCAGAAAATGACTAACCAGTTCTGGCAGTTCAGGCCCAGATTTTGTAAACAGATAAAAATGATTAGCATCTCTAAAAAGACTGATCTTGAGCCGGGTGCGGCGGCTCAAGCCTGTAATCCCAGCACTTTGGGAGGCCGAGGCGGGTGGATCACGAGGTCAAGAGATCGAGACCATCCTGGTCAACATGGTGAAACCCCGTCTCTACTAAAAATACTAAAAATTAGCTGGGCATGGTGGCGTGTGACTGTAATCCCAGCTACTCAGGAGGCTGAGGCAGGAGAGTTGCCTGAACCCAGGAGGCGGAGGTTGCGGTGAGCTGAGATTGCGCCATTGCACTCCAGCCTGGGCAACAAGAGTGAAACTCCATTTCAAAAAAAAAAAAAAAAAAGACTGATCTTGCTTTTGTGATGGTTAATACTGAGTGTCAACTTGATTGGATTGAAGGATGCAAGGTATTGATCCTGGGTATGTCTGTGAAAGTGTTGCCAAAGGAGATTAACATTTGAGTCAGTTGGGTAGGGAAGGCAGAACCACCATTAATCTGGTGAGCACTATCTAATCAGCAGCCACTGATTATAAAGCAGGCAGAAATACTGAAAAGGCAAGATGGTCTAGCCTCCAGCCTACATCTTTCTTCCATGTTGGATGCTTTCTGCCCTCAAACATCAGACTCCTATGTTCTTCAGTTTTGAGACTGGGACTGGCCCTCCTTGCTCCTCAAACTTGCAGACAAACCTACTAGAGAACTTATGATTGTGTAAGTTAATACTTGATAGACTCCCCTTTTTATATATCTATCTATCCTGTTAGTTCTGTCCCTCTAGGGAACTCCGACTAATACATCTCCATTTTGAAAAGAGTGATTTATAAATAAAACTGAAATTGTTTTCTCTGATAAGTAAATGTTTACTTTCAACTATTACTTAAAATGTTTATTTACTTATTAAGCAATTTTTTTCACAGATAGCATAAAAGTACACTTCAGTTCAATCCCTGCAGAAAGAATAAAAAAATTAGAGATTAAAAAGTCCAAATTAAGTTTTATTGTAAATGTTAAAATTTCTAAGCAGCTTGTCTTTTTAATTCTTTAAAATATAATGTTCTAAATAAGAGTAAATTTCAAAATGTTTTTCAAATCTTAGTTATCCAAATTTCATAAGAGATTTATTCTGGTATCAGCTATGTCCTTTTTTAATTTACAGAGTTTCTGAGAAATGCATTTTTTTCTCAGATGAAATACTTCTGTAATTTCTGAGTACTCTTTTTAATAGGAAATGGAAAGACAGAGAAGAAAGTGTTCAGACTATAGGCTTTGGCAACACTGGTGGTAAGACTGCCTTCAGTCATGGACTTGAGACTTCCATTCACTTTGGTGTTCCAGACACGACCCAACTTGGGTATGAAATCTTTTAGCTATTGCTGTTAATCCCTGTAAACTATCTCAGTGAAATATGTTCTCCTTATAAGTTAATGAATTATTGCAAAAGAACAATGAGATATTTTTATTAGATATGGTGGTCCTGAACCATGCCAAATATTTTGTGGTTTTCTGGGAATACAGCAAAGGTAGTTATTAGTATTGAAATAAATGCAGATCTTGGTAAGTCCCAGCTGTTCAACATATGATCACTACTTGGGAGAACAAACAGCAGTATTTGTTCCATCCCTAGATTACATTCTGCTCTTGATATGCATAAATAACTACAACGAACAATTAATGGGAGTTACATACAGAGAAAGGAGACTAAAGTATTGTATTTTTTTCTGTTGCCTAAATAAAACTTCATTTGGTTAATATCTGTCTAGAGTTAGATTTTCCACATGATACAAATACTGTGTTGGTATTTTAATTCCATTTTGATAGGATATTTTCTTTATAAAAGCCAACCAGGCATGTGTAATAAATTTTTACTAGGTGGTATTTGGTTTTTATTGCGTATTTGTACATATAACTACATGTAATGTTCA